AGAGGTAAGACTCAAACCACTGGCGTGCGGTTCCTGAGATGCCATTTTCCAATAGGGTTGACAGGAGAATCTGGTAGTTCACCGTATTAAAAGCAGCAGACAGATCCAGCAAGATAAGCATAGACGATTTGGAAGCCGCTCTTGCCAGATTATTATTAATAGTATTAATATTATTATTTATTAATTAATTTATTTATTAATTATTATTACTATTATTAATCACTCTTCTTCTTATTCTTATTATTATTGTTATCATTATTATTATTAATAAAGACATTTATAATGTTACAAATTATTTCTATTGCAAACAAATGCTGTTTTTCTGAGCTTTCTATGCATCAGATAATACTGAAAAATAAAATGTATCATGATTTCCAAAAAAATATTGGGCAGCACAACTGTTTTCAATATTGATAATAATCAGAAATGTTTCTTGAGCAGCAAATCAGCATATTAGAATGATTTCTGAAGGATCATGTGACACTGAAGACTTGAGTAATGATGCTGAAAATTCAGCTTTGATCACAACAATAAAATACAGTTTAACATATTCATGTAGAAAACAGCTATTTAAAATTGTAATGATATTCACAGTTTTAATGTTTTTTTTATCAAATAAATGCAGCCTTGGTGAACAGAAGAGACTTCATTCAAAAACATTTTAAAAATCTCCCTGACCCTAAACATTTGAACAGTCATGTACGTTGCACTGCAGCAAATGCCGATGTGCTGATAAAATAGTTTCACACTTTTTTCTTTATTCTTTTTTTTTTTACTTTGACAGCACAAAATATCCAACCACTACTGAGAGGAAAGACTCACATACAAGGACTGTCGTGTGGTTCTCAGACACTAAACAGGTACACCAACACCATTTTGTTGCTTTGTTACATATAATGAATTCAGATTATGTCAAATTTAGTTGATAATATAATTGTTTTTAATTCGTCAAACTGTTTAAAATCTGATCTTTTATGAATTTGGATCAGATCATCTTTAGGCAGTGCTGGTAAAACTTGTTGAAAAACATAACTTTTTGTTTTATTAAAAAATAAAACTTGTTATATAGCCTTGAACTTACAGAAGCAAATTTGAGACAGTTCCACCTACTTGCCATAGTGAATAAATGTATAATCCATAATGTAAAAACCTAGGGCAAAATCATTTATATATATATTTTTTTTTTAAATGACTTGACCTTATATTTTCAAGGTTAATCATAAACCTTAAAAGGATACTCCACCCCAAAATGAAAATTTTGTCATTAATCACTTACCCCATGGCCGGACTTACCATTGGGCTTGACTGGGCTGCAGCCCAGGGGCCCTGCCTTGTAGGGGGCCCCGCCTTAACCCGTTTACATTTGTTCAGTTATGTGCCAGTCAGAAATTATTAGTCACATTTCAACAGCGCGCACAGGCCAGCTGGGGCTAACAACTCCCAGCTTCCAACTATGACATTCGAAGCCATAATCAAACAGCATAAACTGGAATTTATGTTTTTTTTTCACATAGAAAAAGGAAACACGTATTAAATCATGTCTGCGCGGCGCCGAATCGCCGATTAATTTGTGATCACATGGCTACTTTAAACGGTTCCATTAAGCCTTTAGCCCAAAAGAGTGCACAATTACAAAGATAATGATAAATTCTTGCATGTTCACGCCTCACTTCTTTACAGAGGATGATTCTATATTATATTAATGTTCCACTAAATTAATCTGAAGAGTTTTGAGCG